CTCTTGTTTAAAACAGAAATGGCTTCAATTTGCTGTTTCCTCTGAACTCTTACTGCAAATCGCAAGTCATGTCTCATCTTGCAGAGCATTAAACACAAATAAATAAGGGCATTTGAGCAATTTAGTTGCATTCTGTAACTCTCTTTTTCTAAGGCCTGGATTACTATCAGTATAATGAATGACCTCATTACTGAGGGAAGCAACACTGAAATAAAACTCTGTACACATCCTGCACCAAAATTTGCAAAGTATTGCAAAATGTAATAACTGTCAACCTAAAAGCTCACCTAAATTTCTTGAGAAAAAAACAAAGTAAAATAGTAGGTAGTTTTTGTTGTGTGTGTACAGTATATATATGCATGCAACGACTTTTGCTGCTAACTGATTTTGTTGAAAACAATGTGTCTTGAGAAACTGCAGTTCTGCAAATCTTCATATGCAAACAAACATACTGACTGTGTTATGCAAATGTGTTGGAGTTGAAAACTTCTAGACTTGTGTTGTTCAAAGGATCTGAGCTGAATAGCTGAAGCTGAACGGATTGCTCCAGAACAGCCCTGAATATTAATATGAGACCCACAGTTAAACCCCACATCATAAATCCTCTGCAAGTGCAGCTGGACATTGCCACAAATTCACAAATACTGTCATGCCAAAAAGAGATCTAGCACAGCAAGATCACATGGTATCAACTTCTTTTCTTCCAGATGTCCTCAGATGTTCAAAACTGGTATTGATTTATGTGTTCATAGTAAAAGTTCCCTTGTGCCTTGCTCAAATTCACAGTGTTATGACTTGATCAAACTAAAATACAGAATCTTCTGACCATCCATAAATACTGAAAATGCATAGCTCCAACTTCTAAAAAGCAGTACAATTTCTGCTACATTTTTGTCAACATAATCCTAATCCATACTTTTCAATTGAGATTTCTTGCAACATTGAGATTATGGTACTTTTGTAAAAGTATTTCAATATCACATTTTATAAATGTAAAGTATTTTCATTTTGTACAAATGAAACAAGAAGCTACTTATAGGCTTTTAACTAGCACAACCAAGAGAGATAATGTTTCTCCAGTTTGGGCTTTTTGTTGATTCTTTTTATCTACAGGTATGATGACAGTAGGATTGAGAATTATCACAGGTGTACTGAAGCAATAAAATATAAGTAATGATCAGTAATCTTAGTTTCAGCTGCTTGTGTAGCAAGAAGTTTAGTGATTTTCTGATGGCATAAATGTTCAAACCAAATATTTTAAGGCATTGTCAGACAAGTTAAAAAAGTGTTAAAACATGATGAAAGAATAAAGTTGAAGGAAGTCGTAGTTCTTACTTTGAGAGTCCCTTCTTTCATTCCCCCATTCGTCCCCTAATATATTCCAATTTATTTCATTAATCTCAAATTGTGTTTAGAAATTAACTTAACATGAACAATTCTCAGTTTAAGGTTCTTTATTGGGGATATTCTGAAGCAATACACATTTTTAACAAAATACAGAAGAAAGCCTTTCCTTTATCACTGAATTGAGATGGTTAAATGAGATCAGAATTTCAGTGTAAACTTATATGAGGAAGAAACCAGTGGGCGACTGTGGCCGTGTGGCAGAGTTGTCGTCTTGCAATCAGAAGGTTGTAGGTTAGCTGCCTTGCCTCTGCAGAGGCACTTAACCCCAAATTGCCTACCGGTCTGCGTATCGGTGTATGAATGTGTGTGCGGATGGGTGAATGTGACTCTAGTGTAAAGCGCTTTGAGTGGTCAAAATGACTGGAAAAGCGCTATATAAGTTCAGTCCATTTACCACTTACCATTGCTTGTCATCCATGTGATGACAAGCAATGGATAAGAACAGGAGACCCTGCAGCCATACTAACCAATTCCAAAAATGCCATTGGAGGACAACTTCATTTACCACAACAGTGGGACTCTCTTCAAATCACTTTCGAAATATCTACCTATGTGTAAAACGGAAAATGGGCTTCCTTAAACCTGCACTCTTTAGCGGTTTAAATTTCTTCGTGCACTTCATATCTCCACGTATTTTAATCTGTACACATCCCTTGATGTCAACATTGATTTATGTTGACATCAAGGGACAATGAACTCAGTCTCTCAGGCTATAGGCACACAAACATCTGAAAGTGAGATTGTTTCAGTTCACTAACGATGGAGAGAGACACTGAGCAGCATCACAAACCATTTCTTATATTAAATATGAAAACTCGGACACACTTGCAACTTGTTTCTGATTCTGTCCAGTGCGTAAACAGGTGTTGCGCTTACCAATTCTGAGAACTTGTGCTGAACCAAAACAGAGCTGTGCCGCGATGACAATGTAACAGAAGAGTCTCTTTCGGTGCTCCATGGTTTTCCAAGCAAACTCTCTGGGAGTTTTGGGACCATGACAGACCAAAAGGGTTTCTGTCCGACCGACGACTCCACGGATGGGTCACGGCGACGCACGGCAAGTTTTATTCCCAAACCGATACGCTGCTCATCACTCCATCCACAGCTGAAGGTGCGGTGAAAAAAATTACATTGAGACGCTTTCTTTCACAAATAAGACTTTTAAAATGTAAAGTCTCGTTTTCAAAATAAAAAAAAGACCAAACAGCAAGGGTGACAAAAACAAATCCACCGGACTGTGCGCGTCCAAGATGTGCCAGCTTAACAGAGGATGCGTGAAACTCAAGGAAGTTAAATGTCCGGTTGGATTCATCAAAATAAGACAAACGGAAGCACGAACTCACTTCTTTTACTGCTAGATTTATGTCTCCGTTTATTTTAACCTATTCAAAATTTGGATATATAATCTACGATGGTAGGAACAATTGAGATTCATCGTCTGTTACTGACTTACACTCTAGAGTAGAACTCTCGCTCATTGATTAATATTAATATTAATCAATGATATAATATTAAATTATTATGCCCTAAGTAAAATTAACCCACAAAACTTGAAATAAGCAGCTTTTACTCTGAAGGTTCGCCCTGAGTTATGGCGTTTACGCATCCCTGTGTGGAGGAGTTTGGCCGCAGTCCTTTGGATTAAATAGCAGAAGGCTTGGCAGCGGTTCTGTTTGCACCCGTGCTGATGAGAGACGAATAATCTTAAAGTTGCCGGGCAAATGTCAGATAATCTTCCTCTCTCTCTCTACAGACTCTGAAGTGTTTCACCCTTCTTTGTTTATCATCTAGGAGAACAAGATGCCCATTTTATTTCTACTATATTGCGTCAGATTGTTTAGAAACAATAAAATCACTGATTAAAAAGTTAATGGAAAATCCATTTTTCTCCGTTTCATTGATTTATGTTGGTATGACATTTAACTACCTTTAAACTGAAAACCATTTGTTTTAGCATTTTTCAATATTGTGACATTTGAAAAAGCCAAACACTCAGCATACAAATAAAACTCTGATCAAGTCAGACTTGGCATTTTAGCTCGGCTGTGAAATCTTTGACAGAAACTTCTGGAAAACAGCCTTTAGGAAAATTTAATTTACTTATAAAAAATGACCAAATGAATACGAATTGGAATCCCCTCAGAATGTTTTCAGTTGAAAACAAATCATAGATATTGAAACAAATCTAATCAGGTAATGAAGCTGCCCATTATTGGTTTGAACTATTTATTCTAGAAATTACATGATTGATCTATGTGGATGAAAGTTAACCAGTTTTATTGTGATTCTTTACTCCCTTTGCTCTTTGCTACAGTTGCTAGGTTTTTATGTAATCCCCATATTTCTATAGAGGTTGTTTTGTGAAGGGTGGCCATAAAGAAGGGAAAGAACAGAAAATGTACATATACATAATGTTGCTAAAGAGGTTGAATTCTATTGATTTTGATATAATCTTGATTTTCTTTAGGATCTCTTATAACCAGCTCAATAATATATAGGTTCATGGTTTGAAAAGTGTATGACAAAAACCAGCTGATTTGATATATTCAGATTGAGGATCTTAGATTAATTTGAGGTCAGGACAAGCAGTGTGTGACAAACATTCACTGCCCCAATGAGAAACACCAACAACAATACAGATTTAGCTGTAAATAAACTGATATTTATTTTAGTGTATATTCTTTTATTGGAATATTAATTTCTTTAATATTTATGTTTATGTACCCCACAGACCCAGAACATTCATGTTGGGCTAGGTGGACTCTTTGAATTGCCCTTAGGAGTGAGTTTGAGTGTGAATTCCTGTCTGTGCCATTTGTCTCTGTGTTATTCTCTGATGAACTGGTGACCTGTCAGTGGCATTCAACCTCTCTTACCAAATAACTGTACATCTCTTACAAATATCTTTCCAGAAAAAATTGTTTTGTTGAAATGTAATTTTTTTTTAATTGTCAGAAAAAAAACTAGTGCCTGTTTATTTTATTCAATACTTCGTAAGCACGGTGGCAAAAATATTTTGGTTATTAAATGTACAATCTAGTGACGGTTCTTCACAACATAGCAGGATGACAACATTTATACAAGCAAATAATCAAGCCCATTCAGAAAACAACCTCAAAACAAAGCAAAAAATGTTTGTACGACTTGGTTTGATTACATCACAAAGACAATAATCAAGCTGTTATGAAAATCAGTAAAGAGAACACAGGTAAACACTTTAGGGTGACTTGATTATTTTATTAAAAAACACAAATAGAGAAAAAAATAAAAATAGAAAAAAAGTCAGTTTTTGCTTTAAATAATGTCACTAGGTGCATGTTTGAGGAATCTGTTTTTAGAACAGATTTTATTGTGAACAAGTAAAATAGTAAACAAAACCTGCAATGACATTTTTCTGGAAGGGATCAATTTGTCTTATTTAGAATGTGTTATAAAGCAGTTGTAAATACCTTTAAAGGTACACAGTTTTCATTCAGAATACACTTATGTTCATGTAATATTCTAACCTTTAATGAGCTTTCATTAGCTGTTAGCAGAACATTAGGAACACATTATTTTTTTATTGCTAAGCAGAAAAATGTCAAAACAGCAAATCGGTTTAGTGAGAAAATTTATTTTCACATAAAAATCCACAGTTTTAAGTACAAACAGTTTCAAAAGTACAAAGGTGGGAGTCAAAGGGCTTTTCACAGTTTGCCTCCAGGGCCTGGTGATTGTACCTCACAGTTGGAAAGTCTTTCCCGGATGTTATGAACCAGTGAGCCGTTAGCTGAGATATCGGCTTTATAAATCGATCAAGAACATAAAGTTTAAAATCACTTTAAAATTTAAAATTTTAAACAATAGTTTAAAATCCACTTCCTTATTCCTATAAACCAGAGTAGCTCAGCCTCTATGTTCACAATTCGGTGTTAAGTGCTTGTACTTGTGTCCTGGACAGAAGTCTCACAATAAACACGTTGCTGTGATAATGAAATGGCACCACCTGGTGGAATGAAGAAGCATCACAACATTGTGAAGTGGATGCAGGCTGTGACAGGATGTTAAATGTAAAAAGTTGCTGGGATCTAATGAAGCAGGATAATTAAGTTGCAGCTCAGGACTAATAATATTCAAGTAAACAGGACTAGAGTGGTTGGGGTGTATTTTAAAGACATCAAACTTGAAGGGACTCCGATATCCAGTGTGGGGTCAAATGAACAAAACAAACAAAACAAAAAAAAAAAAAAAAAAAAAAAAAAAAACTACCAAAATAGATGAGAAGGGCACAGAAAAGAGTTTTGTCAAGTCCATTTCTGTCACCAAATACAACGTTTGTAACACTGAGCAGATAAATGTGTTGTAAACATTAAGTTACAGTAAAAGGCAATGTTAAATAAACATGAAAAATTTGCTATTCATAACCATTTTTAAAAAGTATTTAGGAGAAAAAGTGAGCATCAAAACTTTTTTTGTACAACAGGTGATCAGTACTATTATTACTTCCAACTATACAGTGATGTGCAGCTGTTATTAAAACTGTTTTTTAAAAAAGCACAATAAAGCTAGTCAGACCTCACCATCTTTTATACAGCAGCCATTTAGCTAAAATCCCCTGAAGAGAAAGAACACACAGCCCTTTGGGGGGGTTAGGGTTGGTTCGGTTGTAAATACAAACAGCTTTTCAAGTCAGAAAAATATATAACACCCACATTACTGTGTTGAAAAATAGACGTTTTGGTCCATGAGTCACAATTTAGTGAGTATGTCTCTTCTGTGCAGTGTGTGTCATGAGACAGTAGCTGCCTACGTCTACATACAATGTGCTTTTCAGTGCATGAAGACATACACCACCTCATCTGCACATGCAATGCTTTCATCTTCAGATAAATGCCATCTGTTTGTGAAATGCCTGGGTACAGTGAGGGGTCTCTGTGAGGGATTTTACAGTCAGAAGTTCTGAATTAGAATCTGAGGAGCACAAGAGGAACCAGAGCATGTTGTAAGACAGTAGGATTGTCAAACTGGGAGGAGTTAAAAAGAGTGGTTAGCATACACTTTCTCTTAAAGCTTGTACCCGATTCACCCTAATTTTTTTGGAATCCTGATTTACAACTACTTGCAAAGCTTTTTATACCCCTTGAACAGTTTATAATCATAAGCTATGACCACACACTTCCATGTATTTCAATGGGATTTTCAGTGCCAGGAAAAAATGCAGAGTTTAATTATGAAGTGAAAGAAAAATGATTTATTCAATGAAAAATAAAATCTGCCATTTTTATTTAGGCCTTTTTAGAGGTGTGGAGCTAAATAGAGGGAGATGCTGGAACTGGAGATTTAACTAGGGCTGTCAGAGTAAAAAGGCCTAAACAAAAATGCCAAACTTTTCAGATTTTCTAAACATGGAATCAACTACATTAACATCTATAAAGTACTGACTTATTTGGCTGAATATAAATGACCTTTTCACTTTTGGGATTTTAAATTGTAATCAGGAAAACAATAAATCCTTTTGCTTCCCCTTAATAATGCAATTTTTTTGGAGTCATCCATCACAAAATCCCAATAAAATATAAAATTTTAAAAAATTCAAGGGGAATGAATGATGTACTGAGTGGAAGACACCTCTGTTTGCTCTTGTCTTCATTCTGTAGTCTCCCATCAAAAGACATCACTGTTGCACCCTTTATTAAAGTCGTCCCGTCGTATCCAGATCATGTCGTGGTTCTTGCTAGTGGCTCCCTCCACAGAACACTGCTGCTTCAAAGGAGTGACCTTTGAGGAACAAGAGACAGACAGGCTGCAGGACGTAAAGGAGTCTGAATCATCCTTCTGTTTTGTTCGATCCACTTTCACACCCTGCTCCATCTCGCTTCTTGACTCCATCTTTCTATTCAAGTTGACCTCTTTGCTGTGCAACTTCAGTTCTCCCACTCCTGCCTCCAGGGAGTCTGGTTCGGCCGAAGAGGCTCGCACAGATTTACAGTATTCGTCATCGTCACTCAAGATGTCCGTCTCCTTTACCTGTCTGTCATCAATGTCTTCGCATTGGTCTTCGTAGCGCCTCAGGTTGAACTGCTCCTCCACCCAACGGTCTGTGTCCTCTGCCTGATGTTTGTGAGACGGATGAGGTTCGTGCTTGGAGGGAGGGGACTTTGAAGGGGAGCAGGATGACCGATAGGAGATGTTAGGAACATCAGTGCTGTTGTTGGTGCCGTGGAAAACCTGGTCAGCATCAATAGTAATGTGGTTCGTCAAGAGGCTTCGGCGACTCAGAGTTCGTGATGGGGCAGATGCTAAAGGCAGACATAAAAAAAAAGGGGGAGAAAAAAAAACATAATATTGTCTGTAAAGTATTGAAGGTTGTGTTAAGAATTTTATGCAAACTTACCTGCTCTGTTCATGGCAGGCCGGGCACCTTTGAGGGCACTCAGGCGTTTGCCACCAAACGGGACATACTTCTGGTTGGGTGGCATAGATTTTGTCTTGAGAATATGTCGCCGTTGCTTCTCCCTAAGAATAGACTGGACTGCTTTCAAGAAGCCCTTTTTGCTCTCTGGAGAACTAGAATCATACAAGAAACACGTGAACTCGAAGTTATTTTTACTCACCTCCAATACATGTATTTAATACTTTTTTTTTTCTTTCAAAAAATACCTGCAGCACAGCTGAAAGATTTTTTCTGGTCTTCCTTCAGATTCAGACCTTGTGTGGACTAGTTCACATACTGTTGTGGCTTCAGAGCCTTGAAAGAAAAGATACAGGTTTATAATTTCAAGAGTCGCTCATTGAGGTTAGATATTTGCTTCAGATGCTGTGAAATGTCGAATAGGACTGTGAAAGCCTTGTTAGATTTATGATTTTTAATAAAAACATTACTTTTGGTTGGACTGCATCTTTGTTCTGGAATAGGCATGTTAAAAATTGCATTAATCAAAAAGCAGAAGTGTGGCAATTCACTTAAACAACTCACTGCACAGTCATCAGGCCAAACACAAGCAAATTGCAGTGTATTATCCACAAAGAAACTGTGGATAATACAGTTTGATACAGTTAAACAAAATGACTTAACTGTAAACCTATAAAAAATGAGAAAAGCTTGCATATTTGTCCACCACAAACTTCACACAAAACGTAAGGAAGTGTATGCTTAGTTAATGGTTCATTTGTTGTAGCAATGTTTTCTGGCAAGAAATCTACATTTTGAAAGCTTTTTTTGCTTCCCCTTAAATAACGGCACATCGCTAAGGAAAATCCATTTCTGGGTTAAGCAGTGAAGATGACTATATAGGTTTCATCAGTGAAACTTGTCTAATGCTTTGTAAATGCATTAGACAACTCTGATAGACTCTGATAGAAGATGATGACTCAGCTTTTCAGAGCAGTTTATAAACTAAACAAACAATTTCTGAGACAATAAAACAGCCAGCCTGCAGTTTTGACAACACCAGTTTTGGATCAGGATGAGCTGCAGGTCATAACAGACAAACTTTTTTGAAAACATTTATCATTTGTAATTGGTATGCCATGAGAAAAGTTAAAAGTTGCCTTTTAGGAATACAAGTTAGACCTACTTGCAGCGGACCGGACTTGCAGGGAGTCTGTTGCAATCATGTATCGGAAGCGGAAATGATCCCTGTCCTCGCTCACAGTCGCACGATGAGATCCCCCCTGAAAAATAAAACCCACGTGAAACATGACTGCAGTACATCAACATGACAGCAGGCGGCGTAAAAGTCCAAAAACACATAAACTGTAACAGCTACTGTCAGGTATCAGAATCAGTCAACAGCATTAGATATACACAAAGCAAACTCGTAGTTGTTAGAAGACCTTAAGAGCAATTTTATTTCAGAATGTATCAACAAACAGGCCCACCAGCAAACTTCAGAACCACTGATCTTGCCTTTATGGCCTCCAGTTTTATTATTGCATTTTGCATTGATTCTGCAATTCTGCACTTTCCCAGTGAACCAACAACATATTAAAATTAAAAGACAAAATAGGTTTTGCTTGACAAACTATTACCATACTGTATTTTATCTTTAAATAAAATAGAACTTGGAATAATGTGCAAATATTAAGCAAACATTTCCCCCTTTTTGTCAATACAGTAATTGTAAAAGAGTGCTGAGGGTGAAACTGGTCAGACAAGTTTATTTCCTCTTTTTTCCTTAAGGAAATAACATATCCAAGCAATATTTGTACTGGGTTTTTTCCCTTACTTTAACTTTTTTTTGCCCTGTTGACAGTTTTGAGTTCTGATTAGTTTGCCACAACTTTTGAAGTGGACTTGAAAAGAAAAGTGCATAAATAAATGTAACATCAGTTAGTTTCTAGATATTAAAGCCCATTATTAAACTCTTGATATTATGGTATATACACAACATTTTGCATAACTTTATACATTTGTCAAGTCATTTTTTTCTTAGTTGTAAATCATTTAAAAATCAATTGGTTGGTCATATTTTAGTTGCTGGTAGGACACTTTCTGTATTTCCAATTGTGAGGCATATTTTACATTTACATGGTATTTATAGCTGTATAGACAAAGCTTTAATTTTTCTTATTAAAAATACTTTCAGAAAATTTTAAGACTGCAAGTCACGGCTCCTTAAAAATTGATTCATTTAAAATCTCTCTGCTGCCCTCTCAGAACAAGAGGAATACAGTAATTTACTTAAAACAATGGGATGAAATTGATCATAAAAGTATAATCAATTTCCATCGAATGAGTTTGTCTTTTCAATCCAATTTTCAAATTAAAACCAATGCACAGAAAAATGTTAAGTGTACTTACAATTTTTTTCCGGTGTTTGGACGAGTTTTTGTAAACAAAAACAACAGCGGTTTTGAACACTGTAAAACAGGAACATAAATGAAGAATATGACATAAATCAAAGCACATTTCATTACCTGCTTTAGTTTAGTCAAAATACAACTTATAGGTTGCTAAGGAATACCTTTGGTGGCAGCTCAAGATTAAAATTACAATATTTAGTGATATGAAGAAGAATCCATCATGTTAACATTGAATGCTAAAAGCTGCCACCTCTGCTCACCAACACTTGGTAAGAAAGCCATTAAAATTTTCATATCTAATATTTATTGCAAGGAAAATATGTCCTTGCAATAAAGGACATAATTTTCTTTATTGTGCACTTTGGGGGTGGGTGAACATGACATGTCAGCAATTTATTGCATGGAAAAAGGTGAAATATATAAAGCCGTGACTCTGTATATGTGCATTTTTTACTTTGTCTTGTGCACTCGGTAGATTGTTTTTCTCTTTAATATGGCATGGAAAGAATGTTATATAATGTAAATTTAGAATGACAGTATTACCAAAACATCTACTTAATTCTTACCAAAAACAGATAATTCTGGGTCCTTTTTGCTTTTGCCAAAACTGGATGGAGCATTCATCCACGCCACTGTTGAGTGCAGCAGAAGGTCGCCCATTGAGAGATCAAGCACCTTTATTAAAAAGTAAAAAAAAGAACAAAAATTTAATTATCTCTGTTTTGACATTTGATCAAATGTCAGTTCGGTGATCTAGGTGAGTTACCTGTTTGTTATCCACGGACTGTTCATTGATGAGCTGATCAAAAACTGCCCCGTACTCCTCATGAAGCTTTTGCATCTCATTGATGTGACTCGCAACTTTGTTCATGGCCTTGATTGCGACTGGATGAGACAACGGTCCATTAGCAATGTCTTAATCAATTACTGCTCCAAACAGTGAGGGGCATAGCTAATGTTGAAACCATTTCACAGTGCTAACAGATGTAGAAAAGAAACATAAAAGCACTGCTTTACCATCAAGATGGTAGTGTTCTTCACTGTCTGGGTCCGTGAGAGAGTAGAGCTCCCTGAGTAGGAGTGGATACTTCAGGACTCTCTGGATGGGTTTGATCAGGTAAGACTCCAGCGTGGATGAATGTTGCTGTCTGGGATTTTTCTCAGCCAGGAAAGCTTTGAACTCTGGGTCAGTTTTGGCTGAAAAAAAGAAGATGCTGTTTGCAAATTACAAGTCACTACAAATTTATACATTTCTGCGATATGATTCATAAGCAGATTTGTGACGACTGCAAATCTAAAGAACTGCAGTCTGTAAGTTAACTGCGCTCTTGCCACTAAGAATGAATATTTGCATTTTTACCTTTAGCCAGGACCTTTGGGACCTTTGTGTGGCTGGCACAAAATGCACTATAGATCTTGAACCGATCAGCATAATAAAGGAATGACCCACCCAAAGAGAAAAGCACCTTCTGTAGAGAGAATAAAAACATGATGGATTAATAAAAATGATTCATATTTGCATTGATTTAGGTAGATATAAATATTGTCTGTCCCAGTATCCACATACAACTATTTATTTTAACCTTTCATTTCCAGACTCTTTCTTCTTGTGCCTACTTCTGCTTGCCAGATGGATTCTATGATCACGTCAAAATTAATCCTTATTATATCAATTACAGAGGCTTTTTCAAATAAAGCTTGTTTCTTAAAATGAGAATTGTTTCCTAAGATTCCAAACAGTGGATCTTTTTGAATGAAGATCCACAGAGACTGAGTTTGTTAAATTTGTGTTTGCACTGGCAAGTAAATGTGAAGCTCGAAGACTCAACTTAAGTTTTTTCAAGTCTTGGATGTGTGTTTAAGCCCCAAGTATCTTTTTACAAACATTAGCTCAACCCATCATGATAGTACCCATGAATCATTATGATGGTTCATGGGTACCATAATGAAAGTGAATTTTCTTCTGAGTGCAGAATTTGTGCAATAACATCATAAATAATTAAATGGAAGGGTTTTTTTTATTTTTTAAGGGAGACAATGTGAAACAGCAGAAATAACTAGACATTGATCTTCCAGTCATAAATATCCAAATGATTCTGATGTTTATAGAAGAAATTTTCACCTTAAACTGATCCACTCTCTCCAGTCTGTCCAGATCAGGCACCAGTCTGATTCCATCTTCAAGCGTTCGCAGAAACTCCAACTGGAATTCCACCATCTCTTCAAGATTACCAAATAAAACATCCAGCTACAAAGAAAGAATGAGAATTCTGTTAGTACTATTGTACATAGTGAAGCTTAATGACTGTCAACTAATATTTACAGCTCCTTCTATGCTAGAAAAAAAAAAAAAAAAAAACTTCTGATTTGTGTACTCACAAGTACATCTAGGCTATACTTTTACTTCCACAGTAACTACAAAGTCTACATATATACTCACGTCCTCTATGTACAGTCAAACTACAAACTAAATAATGACACTATTTGCTTCCATGCATTATTCTATAATAGATCTAAGAATTCACTTATAGTTTCCAAATGTGAGTATTGTCATTTTTGGTATAAATATAAGCAGCATGACAGTACCTCATCCTGTGTTAGGAAACTCTCTTTCTGTAAAGGTTTCAAGTAGCACTCAATGAGACAGCGCAGGTCCTGAAAAATATTTAAAAAGAAAAACAAGATCTGTCTTTGAGCACACATTGTGCAGAAGGTGTTTTTGTGATTCAATGGCAAGTATTGTGGACAACGACAATGAGTAAACTTCAACAGCTCTTGATGCAACATAATAATGTTATGACATATAACTAACACTTTTTAAATGCCTCTACTTAAAATTAAATTAAAACAGACACCTTGACATAGGTCTTCTCTGTCTCCACCAATTCACTGATAACCTTGCGCAGTTTGTCTGCATGGGAAAGCTGCCTCTGGGCGGCAGTGCCGGTACCAGGCGCCAAAGCTGACACAGGGCTCGGTGACAGGGACGATGAAGACGATGATGAGGAGGATGACATTGGGCACTCCAGGGGATTCATATCATGGAGATTGCGGCAGAAAGCAGTGACTTGCTCTGTGCTCTGTGTGGGAAACGGGAAACATTCCATTAATCTAATGTCAGAATTCCTTCACCTTAATTGTAGAACAAGATTATGAACAATTAAAATGTCTTTGGAAGGTTTTTGTGAACATTCACATTATTTTTACAAGAATACACTTCAGTTTAATTTATTAGGATTTGATGTGATAGATGGGATATAATTGTTTCAGAATACTTTTGTGTTCATCTCTTCTGATTCAATACTTTGTAGAACCACTTATGTGTGATTTCAGTGGCATCATTGTGGTTATGTCTCGATCAACTTTGCATATATGGAAACAATTGTGTTCTTTGCAAAATCACTTAAGCTCAGTCAGATTGGATGGAGAGGTTCTTTGAAGATGAAATTTAAAGTCCTTCCATTGATTCCTAGTTTACTTTTGCTCAGTTCTGTTTTGATAAACCTTTCCAACTTACAACTAAGCATCTTTCTTCTCCAGGCTAAGGAAAGACATATCCAGCATGATTCTGCTGGATATGACTGAAATGTCATATTTCAGTCTAAGCATTTAGTGCTCATGGTGATGTGCAATGTCCTAACATGCAACTGCACGCTTTGATTTGAGCCAAATGTAAAATGAATTTAAGATTGGCTTTCTTCCCGACACCCTTTCAAAAAAATCTGATTTGTGGAGAGCAAGGCAAACAAGTTTTGTGAACATATTCTCTACAGCTTCTCTACAATTAGCATTCTATTATTTTTTGTTTGTTTGATTCTTTGATTAATGCTCTCCTTATCTTGCCTGTCATTTTTAAGAAAACCCATGTCTCAGGTCGGTCTGAAGTTGTGCCATGATATCCAAAGCTTAAAAGGATTTTAGAACAAAACATGCTTTATTTTTTTTCACAATCTTATCCATTATATTTGTTCTGTTTCTTGGTCTTTATGATGCCATCTGTTTTCATGCACCACAACTGGAGAATAAAGTACAGAATAAAATAAAAGGCAATTGTTTTGAACAATTGCTCAGAAATCCTTGTTGATCTCTGAGTTATGTACTACTATGAACTGATTAATCGCATAAAATCTCAAACTACTGATTAGGTCATGACTAATGTGCAAAAGTTCAAGGTGTATAGACACTTTAACATGAAACTCAAGGGTTACATAAAATGTGGTTGTGAAAACTTGCCAAGAGCCACTCTTCCAATCCTAGAAGCATTCCTTACATGATCAGACATGTTAGATTTAAGCAGTATCATCTCCACTATTAAAAAAAAGTGCATTTATGCAAATATTAGCCTTGCATTTCTTTAATAAGCAAAGATGCAACATAAGGAATGTCTGTGATGTATCTGAAAGATGTTCAGACCACAGATGTTCCTTTCCCAGGCTTGTTTCAAGTAAACATTTAGGCAAGAGCTACTTAATGGCCACATACTAATTTTGCCTTTCCTATCTATTCACAGTTTAGAATCCCTCAACCTAAGAATTTGATTACTACAAGCATTTATTAACCTCACTACATTGCTCAATAGCTATTGGAAGGACTTTATCCTACAGAGACAAATTAAGGACATATTTCCATATTTTAATTGCTAGACCCGTACAGTAAACCTCTGTGGGTAAAATTTCGATTAACGTTACTGACCGGATTCACTTTAAATCAGGAATCTCCTACTCCAATCCTCCAGAGCTACTTCCCTGCAACATTTAGCACCCACTCCAACACAGCTGAATCAAATTATTGAATTACCCCTACAGGACAAAGATCTGGTAACAACCCATTCATTTGATTCAGGTGTGTTGGAGAAAAAACAAAAGTAACCTTCTTCACATCACATTATACATGTTAAAACTTGATTCTGATTGACTTTATTTTGGGGCAAAGCCATTAAAAAAGTCAAATTAATTCATTTTTTATCCCACATATATGCATATTGGTATATTTTAAGTACATAATAAAAATAAGTTTTTCACATCACTACAGCTGCTGTCTTTCCAAAATGAAAATAAAATAAACTGAAGACATGTTAAATAGCCCATGTAAAATTGAATAGATGCGGAGGCTGTCCAATTGATGCCCCCACTTAGATTAATGCTTCAAATCTGCAAATATATACCATAAAAATGCCTCTATTTTGTTTGACATGCACTTTTGTTGTTTTTTGATGAGCACCCTTCTTGTTGCTTTTTGACTGACTTAATTGGAGACAGATGAGACAGGTTCTGTCTTGATAGATAACACGGCTTGTCTCCTGTAAGGCTGCAGCAGTGACAACACAATTTTCCATCATGGTATTCAAAACAGCTTTGAAACATGATGCTGTGAATCTTTTTTCATGTCACGATGACCAGCTGTAAGGGAGCAAAAGCATTGAAGGCCATCTCAATTGAGATCATCTCAAATAGAAATGTATTAATACAAAAGATTAAAGCTAAAAATGTTATGTGTGGACAATCAACAGCAATATAATTGATTATGTTATACCCTTATAACATTATATTTTTTAAGTATTAGAAATGAAATATGAAGATCTGTGGAATGAGTAAAATAATAATAAAAACACTGATCTAAGCTGTAATTTTCTCTTGTATACTTCTGCTGACATACCAAACACTCCTGTGACTTATAAACGAGATCTTATAAATTTTAGCCAGGCAAACTGGTGACTATTGAGAGACAGATGAATGAATGAAAAAAGCACCATAATGCTTTATAGAAGTACCACTGTTATTTTGCATTCTGCAACCTGAATTAAGATATATCACAAAATAAATATGAATATTTGTTCATAATAGTGGGAAATGTGAAATGTTGGTTTCGATTTTGCTAAAGCATCAACAGACAATAGTGCCACAATACGATTATTATCCAAATTATTTAGATGCCAAGATAGATTGTTGGTTCCAACTCCTAAAGCTGCTGGGATAGATGAGCATACACATGTATGGTGGATGTATGGATTTGGATAGCAGGCTCCAAACGGAACATACCCTGAGAATAATCTCTTCAGTATGGGCACAGCACCATTACATAATCACTGACCTGTGTGAGCTCAACTCCACCTCACGAGCCATAAAACATGCAACCTTTCATGCACTGCAATGCTCACCACCTGGAACGCGTTATAGATGGAGTCAGTTGAGGGTTTAGTTTTTCTGCTCCTCCTGAAAGCCGACATCCTGGCAGGTCAAAAAGGTTTCAGGTGTTCCCTTCATTCTTGCTCTGTAATTTCCGAGTTGAAAAAACATCCAGACCCCTTCACTGGTCAGTTCCAGAAAAGCCATCCAAAAAACATCCCACTGCAGTGAATTCACTTTTTTGTTTTAAAACTACTGATACAAAGCCAGCTGATGGCAGAAGTTTAAAGGTCGGCTTTTCAACAGTCTGCTGTGCAATTGCTGCTGCAGCTGAACAAATAGGTCATTACACAGACTGCAATGAACAACAGAGCTCTCATGTCATCTTATCCTACAGGGTCCATCCAATCACTGTCTAAATCCCTACTGACTCCGCAGGCTCAACTGTCATCTCTCTGTTTCTCCTCTTCCTCTCCATTCCCATCTGTCCGTGCCGCTTCTCTCACTCTTCTGTCCAGGTGACTCAGAACACCAGAACCAGTGGTGCAGATTGCAACGTTAAAAAAAGGAGCAAACATCACATCCTCTTGAAGAATAGCTGGGGGTGGGATTGTGGGAAGAGAGTTAGGAAGTGAGATGTGGTTACATTCAAACACATCAAGAGTGAAAGACAGACATCAGCTTTCTGCATCTCTGATAGAGAGAGAGAAATGTCAGTGCACCCTTAAACTTCAACTCTTTGTGGTAAAGCTTAAGTATGTCACTATGAGAAAAATGACATTATTTAGCATACAAACAGCAAACCAGTTAAGTAAGAATCCGACTTGAACCATCAAGTGATATTTTGAAATATAAAGAAGCTTTTAAGGGATATTTCTTCATCTTCGAAAGTGAAATTGTACAAAATAATTTTCTGTAGTTCACTGTCTTGTACTAGACTGACATAGACTATATGAAATCCTCGGCTAATCAGCTGTTCTGATCCAATTTTTGTTGATTTTAACATTTTAAAACCATTTAAAATGAAAGTATTCATAAATGTCATGAAATGCTATATTTGAAGAAAAATAACCATTGGTTGTTTTTTTTTAGCCAAACAACTATCAAGTTACTCCTCTAAAATTACATTGATGGCACTGATGTATTGACCTCACAGCTTGCAAAGGGCAGAAGAGCATGCCATAGATTAATGGCTTGTCATATGCATGTTTTGAGCTCAAATTATATTTTCAGCTTACCATTCACCAAACGTTGCAATGTGTTAGTGTTAATGTATGTGATATTGGTGCACTTACTTTGGAGTTGGAAGTCAGAATTGATTTTAGTTTGATAGGATTCCTAAAGTCAAACAGCTTTTCAGATTAGTTAAAGGAAAAAAGAACATGTGTTGTATAAAACAGACATATTTCATCCTAACCCTGCCATAAAAGCATGTTGATTTTTGTACATTTGAAAGCGAGGTATCTAAATCAAATTGTCCTTTTGAAGTCTAAAGAATGACATAATCATTCATTATCAAAACTCAATGTAATCTTGAGTTTTGATTTCTCAAGAGCATCAAAACTTAAAGCATTTCTTCGCAAAGAAATTAGTTTTAAGCAAATTATGCCGGTTAAAGAGTAATAGAGTTATCCACATGCTACAAAACCTTTGACACTAAAATCTATTCGAAAAAAAGAAAGCCAAGCAAGAAGTCAATGAAGTACAACAAAAATTACCTCTTTTACGATAAGTCCAACAAAAGTCCTGCCATTACTCAATGTACTGCATCCTTGACTTTCCCCACATTCAGAACAGAGAGGAAGGGATGTGCAACACATAGGGGTGGAGCAAGTCAGCAAAAACCAGTTCCTACAACTATCACCTGACACAGCAAACACACATTTATAATCCTGGCAGGAATCACACTCACACTTCAGTGGCCGAATTGGAGGCCTCACTCTTAATTACCCACACTCATTTTCCCCCTTTTGACATGAAGAACTCAGTGTACATTTGAGAGCAGATTTTTGACTACTTGTCTTTTCCTGCCACTGTGGAAACAAGCATGTACTTGTCGTTGTCAGAGAACAAAGGAGGAGTGATGGGAAAGCAGAGCGGGATGAGTCCTGAGTTCTGTTTCATGTGCAATCGCGGGGAAAAGCAAATTCTATAAGAAAAAATAAGCAAGAAAAGAAAGAATGTAATCAGTTAATCTTAAAGTATAGTGACATAATGACACACATTCTCACAAACTATAAATGTGGATTTTAAGGTTTTGCAAGGTGCACACTTCCTCCTGATATTTGGTTAATATGGGAGAAGTGAAACCAAACTAGTCTCTGTATTACTTAGTAGAACTATTAAAAATTGTGATTTATATTTTTGTCCCACTTTTCTAAGAAAATAGAAAATGGGTGTCATGCAAATAAAATCTATCCGTTGTTGGAAATTACTGACAACGTTTATACTGTAACATTCACTCGCAGGCTTGATTAATGATCTCATTGCGCCCTCCACTGGGAAAACATGGAAGTACAGCAACATTTCAGCCTGGTTCAATGAAGCTGGTTAAAAAAATAACACGAACAGCATAAAGTTTCAAGTGTATCTTGAAGTTAAAATTAATAGATTCATTAAGTTCTGTATTTATTTGAAGTTCTTACTTCTAATAATTTTCTTCATCTCATCTAGAAAAAAAATATCTAAAGGTAATTAAGAGCCTCAATACATGCAACAATTCTGTACATAAGAAATTCATATTTCACCTGTATCACTAAAGTTATTGAAATGTATTTGGATGTTATATAATATTAAACAGTAAACTTAACTTAATATGCTCTCATATTTTTGATTAACAACATGAAACAAAACAAACCCTGATGAAAATTTTCCCCTAAACACTGAATATTCCATTTTCCATTTCATGTGTCCCTGGTTATATTTGTAAATTATAACCGGGAGTTGGCAGTGAGGCTGACTGCAGTGTGGAGACCCCCGAACAATCACAGACATCTTTATTAACATTGCGATTCTTAAGCAGTCAGCTTTTTTTCTGTAGTTGGTTTATCATACAAGGAAGGTAGCTGTTTGCTTTGTCTAAAATAATGAAAATTTCCATTTCCTCCGGCTAAGCATACACTCATTTATCTCTACTAAATGATGTGAAACACCGGAGAGTGAAGTAATTAGAGTGTGGGGATAATTAAAATTGTCCCACTTTTTTTTCCTTCAGTCGTCTGCCACTGTGTGTCCGTAGGCACCGGGTAAAATGAGGTAAGACACAATCCTCAGCACTTCCCAGCTTTTCCAAAGAGACAGTGAAACAAAAGAATAAGCACCATGAGGGGGAAATAAAGGACAATACAAATAAAAGGATAAAAAACTATTGTTTTAGTTGTCTGCTGGATATCTGTGTTGGAAATTTGGATCATCCTTGTTAACAAAAGCATCCAAGTGCTGAGGGTAAGGTCAAGGCTAACAGCCGGCTGGACGGCTTAAAGAGAACAAATTCTGTCTGAATGCCAGCAGCAGCCTCACATTGTTTATGATAATGAACAGCAGGGGGTTAGTGGGGAACAGAAACCAAGAAGAGGAGAAAACTGGAAGGACATACAAGAAACAAAGGGCATTCAAAACAAAGAAAAACAAACACTGAGACAGGCTGATCAGAGGAAGGAAGAAAAAAATGCTGCTATCATGTCTGAAATGGGACACGGTCACATTGTTTTCAATTATGGGAACAAAATAAGACAGTAAATCAAATAGCTACATGCAGAGGAAATGAAAGACAAAAACGAGGGTCTAAAAAAGGCAACAGATGGAAATGAGGACATGAATCAGACAGCATATGTGAGACTGAAGCAGGAGGTGAGAGACGGGAAGGTGAGATGGAGATCACAGACTGCCAGGGCTTTGTAATCAGACTGCAATACTTCTTCTGGCACACTGATTGGAGAGGAACTGGTTTTCTTCTTTAAATATCAAAAGCCTTTTTTTGTGTGTGTGGGATGTCTCATTTAACAAAGAAAACACTCTGAAGGTTTTAGAAGCGCCTTATATTTCAACTTTTAAAAAATGCTCTGCTTTTACATTTTATTTCCCTTCTTGTTTTTATCTTCAGCTCCATGTAGAGCACAATTTCTAGCAAAGCTCCTTTTTTTAGATTTTCTCACATTACAACAACCATAATGGTATATTTTCTCTGGATTTTATCTGACAAACTACTCAGAGCATATAAATGTAAAATATTTCCCAAGCACGTGAAAGAATGATGTTCTGGTCAAATAAAAAACTACATTGTAGTTCTTAAATGGCAGAAATTTGCTTCAAGCTGAATTTACCATCTGCCGAGTGAAACACAGTGGTAGCAGTATCATGCAGGGGGAAACTTTTCTTTACCAGGAAATGTCTAAAAAGTGACTGGCTGTCAGCAATGACAGGTCAGTAGATTGGTAGATTCACCTTTTCTCGTAAACAAAGTTTACAGAGTATGTCAGTTTCAACATATCTAGAGAATGACTTTTTCCAGTTTGTCTTTGCAAAATACCAAAAGTTCCGTCAGATTAAACAGAACATGAGACAAGAATTTAAAACTTCAGAAACTGGTTATTAAATTATAAATCATTTAATTTTCCAAAAGATGAAGAATCACTTTTTTGACACAGAAAAAAGGCACATGTATTAAGAAAATAATTAGTGGTGCAAAACTTAAAATTTTGGATCAACAACTTGGCAAAAGCACCATGCAAAACGCTGCAGCAAAAAAAATAAATAAAAAGGGAAGTGTAAAAACTAAAGGCTGCAGAGGTGTACATTTTTAATCGGGAACTGTTCTCAGCTGTGGAGTTTCACAGCTTTTTCTCACATCAAGTGTCCTAAATGAAATATAACCCTACCCACTCTCCCAAGCATTCTGTGCTTTGCTTTCAATCTCAAAATGGCAAATCAGAGTCATAGAACCATTCTGTCCAACATAGGCAGGCCTGGAATGAGGCTGGCGCTGTCCTCACTTGACTGAATCTCACCAACATACATCAAGGAAGGATCTCGGCACCATTTCTGCTGCCCTTTTCCTCGAACATAAAGATTCAACATCAAATGCAGATACAGAGAAAAAAAAATTCCGGTGGTTTCAGAATATCAGACTTGGCTGTGGTAAAGGAAGTGACAACCGTATCCAAGGGAGACTGGCTGGCACACAGTCTCTTCCAGACATCAGATCACTGACGTTAATCGGACCAGACATGCTGTTAATTAGAAAGTGATGCTGCTGTCTCACTCTTTCCCTCACCTGCCTCTGTCCACGTAACACACGCACAAACATTATACTGGATGAACATCTGCTCATTCATTGAATGACAGGTTCACACACACCCACACACACACACACCCACACACCCACACACCCACACACACACACACACACACACGCACACACACACGCATACACACGCACACACACACACCAAAACTCATAAAATATTTTAGCAGAACTTTTGCAAATAAAACCAAACATGAAATGTAGTGAAGCCATTAAGAATCAGATTAAGAAATATTATGTTGGGTCAGCAGTGACATTTGTTTCATTCATTCAGGGTCAGAGTTTTTCTTGGTGTATCATTTTTATCACAATGTTTCCTGCCAGAACCTTTTGGTTTGACCTTTTGGTGTGTTCTTTTTATTGAGATGTAAATATTGTTCCAATTATTTGTGTCAGGCGCTGTGGCAAACAAACATTATATGATGGAAAAAAAGAAAAACTTACGACAACTAGTAAATAACACAATTTACTAGTTGTGTTATTTACACAATAACACAACTAGTAAAGAACTAACATTACAGCTTTAAGATGTGTCACATTCATTTCTTAACTTCTATTTTAATTTGTGCATTTCTTAACAGTAGGCCAGGGCACGGCCCATGTAGAAGAGATGAACACTTTTAACACTGCCAGGGCGATATGACTTTATTACTTACTTACCATTGACAACTTAAAGAAGCAAAACTGAATTCTAACTTCTAGTTTTGTGGCCTCATATACATTCAGACACTGATCTTATTCTGCAAATTCCCTGACAATAATTTTCTTGTGGCATCCACACACCTCTATTATATGGTGCATTAGTGTGAAATGGTGTGCAACAATTGCCCCATTATGTTATAAATGAAGCATACCCATCATCTGATTTGGACCTGAACAAATAAGGTGTGCTATATCCTCTGATAAGTAAATATTCAATTGATAATGACCAATTTTAATAATTCATATTTGACTGCACTTAATGTCTTTAAATGCATTTTCCTACCTTCTGTCCAGCTGCCATTAATGTTCTATCATTGTGATGATCTCTGGGGCTCTGCAGGGTTAATAGAGGTCCCTCTTCCATGCTGTCATCGGGACTCTCCACAGTCAAACCTGACACCTCGTCCAGGATGTTCTCTGCAAAGACAAAGACAGTTTCAAATACAAAATGCATATTTGTTTGGCTTTTGTGTATTTTGTATAAAAATACACAAAAAAATATGACTCAATCAATCAACTTTTTTTTGTCTCTTTTTAGAAAACAAAATATTACCAAGCACCACAACAACTTCCTTTGTACAACCAACACAAAAAAGTGAATATTTAAAACAAATACACATGGTATACATTTTTCTCACAAATACAAATCTAAAAAATATTCCAAGTTCCAATTGTTTTTGTGTCTTTGTTTAGATCAACTTTTATTTTAGATTTTAAAATACTGTTGTTAGTTTACAAATCACTGAATGGTTTAGCACCACAATACATCAAAGATCTGCTGTTGTTGTATCAACCTTCTGGTTCTGGTCTGCTCTGCATCCCCAGAACCAGAACCAAAAGAGGAGAAACAGCTTTCAGCATCTATGGACCAAAATTTGGAACAAACTTCCAGAAAACTGTAAAACAGCGGAAACCCTGACTTCCTTCAAATCTCAAGTAAAAACGCACCTGTTTAGAGTTGCATTTGAAATGTAATATGTATGGATTTGATTTTGTGAATATGTATGTAATTTTTTTTTTTTTTTTTTTTTTTTTTTTTTTTTTTTTTTTTTCCTGTTGTGGCACGGGGCCCGGCGAATACCTGTGGTTAAACGGACGGCGGAGTCCGGCGGTAACAGGCGCTTAAATTCCGTGTCAAAGGGAAGGGGGAAGAAAGGGAAAAAAGAGGGAAAAAAGGAAAAAAAAAAAAAACTTGGTATTTTATTCTATGTTGTATGCCTTTGTGTTTTGTGTTTATGATGTAAAGCACTTTGAAATGCCTTGTAGCTGAAATGTGCTATACAAATAAAATTTGATTGATTGATTGATTGATTTAATAAACAGGTTTCTTCTAAACTGCACTTCTTATGGTTTTCTTTCAACAATAGGTTTTTTTCTTGCCACTGTTCATAATTTGAGATCAGCACATTTAATATTTGCTATGTGAAGAGATTGCAGGCATAAAAAACAGCAATGATTTGATATGCTTCCCATTGCAATCCTCTTTTCATTTTTAAACAGTTATTAAAAAGTTTTTGTTTTGGATGTTCAAAAACGTATGCTTTATTCCATAAGTTTTTTATAAGTGCTTTAAGCCTCACCACAATTATGTCTCAGGACCTGTCTGCTTTGATCAATTATCTTCAAAAATTGTTTGCTCACTAAAGATCTTGAAAAAAGAAAAATGGTTACAAATTAGCTTATTTCTGAATGTATTTGATTGCACAAGGCTTTATTTGGGTGTAGTAAAAAAAACAAAAAAACAATGCACATCAATGTTTTCTAATTTCATATGTCACTTGCTTTCCATTTCGTAATTATTCACTACTTTCTGTTGGTAAAATACTAAAGAAATATGCTAGGATATTTGTAATTGGAATGCAACCCAATATAAAAAAGTTCAAAGTGGACAAATACTTTTCCGAGGCATTGCAATTTAATATAAAGTTATAAATCCTTTTGTGTATGTTTTATATTGAACTTCTAATAAAACGCTCCCTCAGAGGGTCGACTGATGAGATTAGATATTCAGTCCAGGTTCAGGACAAATCTCTCGTTTAAAGTCTCCTTCATGTTTGAAGACTTCATGTTCAACTTCCTCTTCAAGCACAGCATCATTAGTGACCTCCGTCTGGCTTCAAAAGTGTTTTACTCTCCATCTGACCCTCAACATATGGCACATTCTCCGTGATGACAGCACCACACTGCTGAAGGAATTATATTAATATTCATACAATTCTGAGCCCCTGTATAAACAATGCCAGCTTGTCAGCTTGTGCATTAGAAGCCCCCTGTTTCCAGTGAATACAAATGATGCCCTTGCACAAATAAAAAGAGCAGGTCAGGGGAAGGCTGCCGGCTGTCTACAGGTTAGGTATCAGACAGCACCCGTGCATAATTAGGAGACCCTGCAGATAGTGATGCACTTTCCTTTTCTGTGTATACAAAGTTAGGGTGCTTTGATGGAGTGCACAGTTGTCCTTTTGAACAAGAAGATGAAGTCTAACCTTGACTCTGCGAAAAGATGTCTGTGGCTGGATCTTGTTCTCCGTCGGCGCGACGAGGAGGACAGAAGCACTGCACCTTCGAGTCTAGCTGGGGCAGAGTGCTGACAATCAGGGTAAGCATACGGTTCCCAAAAGCTGCCCTCAAATCATCCAGTTGGAGGGCGGAGGCAGGTTTACCATTGAGGAACTGAATCTCATCACCTGCTTTCAAACCTAATGGATGAATAAAGAAAAGACAAAGACCATTCAAGTCATTCTAGAAAGTAGTAAATTTATCAAACAAGTTTTAATGTAGGTGTTTTTGGTGAAAAAATTATTTAGTCTCATCTGTGAGCTTATAACCAATAAGGGAGGGACTTTGTGTGTTAATATGTACAAATCCCCACAAACAAAATGTGTGTACCATACTTCCTAACAGCAGCTCTGAGACTAATCAGACATGTTGGGACTCTAATGTTCTCCAGTACATTAAAAATGCATCCTCCCTTGCTTGCTTCCTTCCTTTCTTGCTTGCGGCAAGTCCTGATGTAACAAGACTGGATGGATTTAGAAGGGAGTGCACAAAGCCTGTCTATTCCTGTCGTTTTATGTTATCATATACATTGTCTATGAGACTATACACATGAAAGGAACCCATTGACTTCACTGGAACACATCTCCCGTTTGACACTTCCCCCCCTGACCACCTGTGCTGGGTACTGTTAATTGAGAATTAGTGCTTAAACTGCCAATTTCACCAATCAGCCTGATTAGTTGTGACAGCTGCTCTGGGATCTAATAGTTACTCAAATGGATTTTTATTCTGTTAACAGAAACAGACACACTCATGATAACTAGTGCAAAATTTCCTGACACTTTAAATCCAAAATTAAATGGGAGAGGAAAGCAAACACACAGAGCAATAGATGGAGACAAGAGATGCACAGTTAGCCATAAGTCATGACCTAGTTGTATGGGATCTGAACTGTCAGTTAGAGCAGTTATTATTGGAGAGGGAGCGATAACGCTTCAGGCTCTCTTCTGCTGGGGTAGGAGTGTGTGTGTGTTTTGCCTGTGTATTGTAGTTTTACGGTCTTGCAAAGGTAACAACAAACTTCACTGTTTTCCTGAGATTTCATGTGATAGATTGACACAAAGTAGTGGTCTACTGTGTTTGGGGAATAAAAAGCAATCACACTTGCAAATGTTTTTTGTTGTAAATTTCCATCTATACAAATCTGCATACTCAATATTAGATGTAGAGCAAACATCAATTTTAAAGTCTTGACACAGATTTTCAATAAGATAGTGCCAGATGAAAAGCTATGGACTATTTTGTCTGTTAAAATCCCAATTATAATGTGCTGAGGTTTGTGGCTATAATAAGACCAAATCTAAAAAAAAAAAATCAAGATCAAGAGGTATGAATACTTTTGCACCACATTGTTTACATGTATGCTTCTATGACAGTAGTGGCAACAATAGCTACATTGACAGAAAAATACCTTTGGTTTTCATGTAATGTAAACAGTGTAACATTATACTAAGATCCACTAAGCTCACCGAGTGATACAACCTTTTTCTCTGCGAGTAGAGGGGGAGAATCAGTACAGCTGTGTCCTCTGGCTGCATGCAGCCTGCTAAGATAGCAGCTTTTTGATTGCTAATACACTGGAGGCCACAATCTCACACATGAGTAACCTTGGTTCGACCTCAGGGCATGGCAGTGGAGCATGTTATTTTCTATACATTAGTGCTGTGTCCACAAAACGGCTGCATGTTTCTCAAACCCATTAGGTCTCTCTGTCTCGCTTAAAAGATAGGGACCTGTGAGTGGGGGACAGAAGGGTTGATCTTGAGAGCCTCCTTTCCAAGCAGACAAACAAAATAGAGCCTAGAATCTTATTATCTTGTGGATAAAGGTTTAGGCACAACCCACCCTGAGGAAAATAAATATAAATCATCAGACAAACACGGAATGTAGGGCACATGAGTCATGTCTTTTCAGACTTTCTGATGAGCACACAGAAGCTCTTCTTTTATTAATCTACTGTTTCATCACTGCTGAAATATGTCTACAGACTCACTGAAGTTGTTCAAAATTCTTGATCATTTTTCTTTTTCTTTTTAAAATTGGTTTATCATTTTTACCTAAATAGCTCATATCTGTTGTCTAAAAAAACAATAAAAGTATACATGCTTCATTATATTAAGAACACATGCAATAATAATATAGTCTTTTATCATAATGATGACATGTGTTATATTTAACCTATACATTTATTGCAATTGATTTTTTCAACATCATAACATGCCCATTTTTCTTGGTCCCTTTAGTATCAGGTATTACCATCAAGGAAACTATTACAATATCATAATAACTCATAGTGATATTCTGATTCAATATGTTTCGGAGCTCTATGAATTAATACTCTATTTTGATTTTAGAAAAGTGATAATATTTTGATCAATATCGTGTTTGAAATAACCTGTACTGTCTTTCACTTTCATCATCACAACTTCTGCACTATCCCCATTGAAAATTAAAGTACTGCCGTTCAAAGGTCTAGGTCAGTGCCAAACAGCCAACATATTTAAAAAAAAAACGTCAATTAATTCTTCTAATAAGAGAGGTCACATATCTACCAGACATTAAAAGTAAGATAGTCCATACTGCAGGTTTGCTTTAAGAAAATTAAAAATATATTTACCTTTAGCTGAAGCCAGGCCTCCTGGTTTCACTTCAATGACATGAAGCCGCTGCACATCATCCTCTTCTGTAACTGCCACAGTGAAACCTGAGGAAATATGTTTTTAAGAGAGTGATTGTCATTCATAAGTATACCTTTGAAAAAGATCACCGCAGCGATTTAAATATAAACCAATTAGGTCCACTTATGACTAAACGTGCTTTCTCTAATTATGAGAGCAAGACTCAATAAAGCCAATTAAAGAATCAATTTGATACAGCTTCTCAGTGTGTCGAACTCCGTACCATATCCAATGGTGCTGGACTCTGCTTTGTCAAAACAGATCACCTTGGTAGCTCTGGGGCAAATCTCAATTTCTTTGTAGATCTGCCAACACATACAAATAAATGCATATTTCATTGGAGAAAATGGAAAAATACTTTTGCTGTAAGATGGATAAGGTCAGACTATTACTCTTAATAAAGAATGAACTGCTCCATGCATTATTCTGCAGAGAAAGTGCATGTGAAGGTTGTGGGGTCAGCACATGGGTTAAAACTGTAAAATGAGTGAGTGTAGGATGGGGTTTTGCCCTCAGAGCAGAGAGCTGTGTGTATGAAGCAACAGCAGGGACAGACGTCTGTGTTGTGTGTAATAGCCTTCACCGAGGAGAAAAACAATGTAATCACAGAGGGAGGATGAAAGAGGGTGAAACGAGTCACTGATCAAAGCAAGAAGATAAAAAGGCTCTTGAGGAAAAAACCCAGTTATGCAGAGTGTGCTTTGAGAGAGGGTTCAACATGTCACCTGCAAAACATTAACACAAAAATAATTTATTTTGGAGGTTTACTGTGGCAGAATAATAAGGTGAGGCCTAATCTAGTAATAGGGATTATGTATATGAATAACTCCAAACAGAGACACACAAAATACAAATGGGTTTTTATTCGCAGACCTCGCAATACACTTTGAATATTGCTGCATAATTTATAAGGTATTGCAAAATGTCTCCATAATGTCTTGGGAATTTTGCATGCATTGCACATCGAGTCAGCAATGGAGGTCATAAAAAATGCACAGGTTGGCCTCCATATTGGCGACAAAAATAGCAATGTTGCTTACAGTATATCTGTAATATTATCTTTTGGTGCATATTTACCATTTTGGCATGCTTTTTCAACATGCTCTATCAGTTAGTTAGGTTGTTTTCAGAAAAATTATGTAAGGCCCCATTACTCCGAAGCACATTACATGAAATCTGCAATAAAATTGCAATTTGGCAAATTAATTGCTTGCATCATCCTAATTCAGATCCCACAAATCACAGTACCTTAAAGTACAGTCTCTTACCAAATCCGATCTCCTCTTCAGGCTTTGGAACATAATAAAGCAACTGGTTGTCGACCCACACTTTGACACGCAGGTAGTGACCAGAGGGCTCAATCTGATGGGTCTGGAAGTAACGAGACAGGAGAGAAATTTGTGCAATTGCTCCACGGTTGCTCCAAATATTTGATGTTTATTTGTTTTGTCATGTCATGTCAAGTTGACCTTCCAATGGAAGAAAGAGGTGTTTTGATAATTTGTGAGTAAAAATACATAGCAAATTTATTTTATATTTACATTTTTTTTCTGAATGCAAAAAGACACTGTTTACAAGAATGACAATTACAATTTCTGTCTTGTTTTCTGCACAAAAAATTGATTAATAAATCATTAATTTTTATAAACACTTACTGTATTTGACACATTTACAACAGCGTAGAATTCAGAAAATTATCTTGATACTTTAGGTTTTAGAAAGTTTTGCAGTTTTTGTGCATCTGCAGTAGCCAGAAATATACAACAACACTGAACAGTAAGCTATCACACAATGTAGTTTCTTAAAACAAACAAAAATAAATTATTCTTCAATACAAAAAAACAAAAAAAACATTTTATTTCCAATAAACATTTTTTTTCTAGTCAGTCAGGATAAAGTCTAGCCTTCTTTTGGCCAGCTGACAGCAGCAACAGGAGGGGGCGGGCTATCACTGTTACGGTTGGATCCTGTTGGATCACATGTAAAAGTTGGTAAGCCATAAGAATGGTCTGAACAGTGGCCTACCTTACAGACACTGCTCAGGACATCCACTGCTGTCTCCCCAGGCTGAACAATGGCCAGGACTGGCTGATTGTTTGGCAGGCAAACCCAGGAGGGCTTCAAATAATCGGGAACCCAAATATCACTGTCTACGCTTTGCTGAGGAACAGTTTTCACAGAGTCTTCAGTTTTTTTCTGAAAATGGAACATAGACATGTACTTTACTAGTATAATCAGCTACTGCATAGAACAAAATCTGACAAAATGTAAGAGTAAAGGCAAGTAATAAGACAAAATATCATATGCATGAAGGAAAAATCAATGTTGATTGTAATTAAAAATAAAGTAAAATGAAAAAAATTTCTAAATGACAAGGTGAACATGTAATGATTTGAAGATTTTATTTAATTCACTTCTTTTGAAAAACTTTTTGATTTTTCTTAAGATGTATGACATTGACCTGTACAAAGACTTCATTCTGTAATGTGTAAGTCCATCAGTTTGATCCAAGTGAACAATCTGGCCATCATGTCGCTCGCTCTCCTTTTATCTCTCCTGTCTGCCCTCACATTGTTTGTAACCCAGCTCTCCCTATCAAGTAACCGCATCCACATTTTTCCTTCAGTTCTTCAATTCCGCCCACCCTGCCATCGATCAGTGCCTCTCCTTCTGGTGCCCTTTCCCCGATCTGTGCAGCTCTCCACCAGCTCGCTTCTGTGCTGCCGTCGTTCTTGCCAAATAATCTCCCAACAGTTAACAAAACCGGATCCTTTAGTCTACAATTAGTATGTATATGCATGTGCATGTTCGGTTTGTTTTGAAAGACAAAATTACATATGTGCAAAAATATTTATGTAAAAAAGAGACTTTTTTTTCCAGACAGGAAACAGGCTGGGGGGCCCGTGACCAGTACCTCCCCCAACTTCCCTGAACTCCCAGGCTGCTCAGCACCATCTGGCTATCTAAGATTCCTCTGCTGGGGGATGAAGGATTTCCAGCAGGCATATTAAAAATCTTTCTCCTCTTACGTTACCAATCGGTCTCCCCAGAATAAATATAGTCTTATAATAGGGGCCAGGCTGTCAGAGGTGAAAAATCTTCACTAGTAATGTGAGGTCTCTTGCTGTGTATCAGTAAAAGTCTGGGCATGCTGCCTCTTGTGCATTTCTTTACGGTCATCCATTCCCTTCACCCCCTGCCAGCTGAGGTGGGGCGTGGGTGGAAGGAAATTGATCTCTCCTTCTGCTGCAGGGGGCCTTCACAGCAAGAATGGTTTATTGCCCCAGTTTTTCTTCTGTCTGTGAGGTTCAGACAGAGGCCTGTCTTTTCCTCTCCCACACTTTCGGCTGTTTTTTATCGCTTCTCATGAAATATGGAGTTGGCATGCTTGTCCTTGCACAACCTCTGAGTAATTGGACCCTTTCCTTCCTAGTTCATGTAAAAAAAAAATCACACATTTACTTATCTGTGATGAATTATCAGAAACATCCAAATGAGATTCACGATGATTTCTTTGTTAAAATATTTGCTAGGATGTTCAATTATCTGTAAATTGTGGTCAGTCCAGAATAACACAGGTGAGAACAGATGGTGTGAAACTGCCTGGCACTTGGTAGCTAATGTCTGCATAATTTGAGGTAATGATCCGCAAATATCAGATCGGGCTTCCCTCACTGGGATCAGCAGAGAGAGATGTCTCTGGTGGATGGTTAATGGGATTCTTATTTGGCTGAAATTGCCTGGAGCAACTGAATAAAGAGATGGATATCCATCAAGACTGATGTGGGTTTTTGTTTTGATATCTAAAAAAACTACAAAAGTAATGGAAGATTGTTGATAACAACAGAAGAAAAAGTTATTTGTCTTTTTTTTTCTGAAGCTGGAGAATAATCTGCTGAAAAATCATATGCACCACAAGTACAGTGTCCTGCAAGAGTATTCACTCCACTTGAACGTTTTTCATTTTTAGTTGTGTTTTTAATGGATTTATTTTGTGATAAATAAATCCATTAAGAATACTATAAATTTCAAAACATTTAAGATGCACTGATAATTTTCCAAATCTCTGTAAGCTCCAGAATTATCTGAGTGTGTGGGAAGAGAGACTGCTAATTTTAAACTTTCTTAAGCCTGCAAATTTGTCCACTAACTCCACGTCGAGGGGGAGAAGTGGATGTCTATAATGTTAAAGCAATAGCTTGTGAATGACCTCAAATGAATGCTCACTGGTGCAAAAGGTGCAGGGACTTTGTGCCTCCCCAGATAAAGCATCACATAAAGAGCTAGAGCATCTACCAAAACCAAAGGGGGTGGAAAATCAAACTATGCTGCTGGCCTCGGGGTCTTAAGAAGCCCCTGTCCTATTATACAAGCACAAAGATCCATCAGATGCCCCAGTGATCTTTCTCATCGTGTATAATAGAGGCAAACAGTGATGAGTAATTAGCCCACAGCAAAAAACAAGACCTGCTTCTTTGTGCTTAGCCTTGTGATGATTATTACTGTTTAGATGTAAACATTCTCTTATGTGGCTTTTTTCATATCACTTTAGTTACAGCATGGTGGAGAACTACAAAGAAACCGAGACAAGTTGTGACCTACTTTATACAACATTATAAAATTATTAAATTCTTTATTTTAGAGTGAACTAGCTTTAAATGTGCCCAGAGTAGTAGGAGTCGTTTAGATGTTTTTACTTGTATAATCAGCTAAAGCAGAGAACAAAATGCCAAAATTTTCCAAATTTGGTGTAGCTGAAAGTCCTCAAAGTTTTAAACTCAAAATAAATTAAACTTAAGCTGTTCTAGAAATAAAACTGTTTTACCATGGCGATTCCTTTCAAAAGAAGTCATAATTTTTCAAAGGTTCTATTTTTTGATCAGAGACTTCAGAGAGCATCTAGATTCACTCAATTGTACTAGTTTGCATCACAAAACAATTCCCAGTGTTTTTAATAAAACGTTTTCCAATTCAACTGTTTTGGATTAGATTAGTTTAGATAACAATTTACATATCTAAATTTATTCTTACAGATATCTCGCTGGCTGAGTCTTCAAACATGAGCTCCAACGGTTTTCTTACAGGATCCGTCCCATTTTGAAACACCTATAAACAAAATAATAGATTACAGTCCAAAACCACACAAAGCATAGAGATTTTATGAACTGTAAATATTTACAGAGCTACCACATTCACTTTAAGGCTTTCAGAAAACTATTCATTGTTACTATTATTGATAAAGATAATGAGATAGAAATTAATTTTAAATTATTCTTCAATCAAAAAGTGAAATCTATTAAGACCTGTTGAGCTGAAGGATGTCCTTTGGTCTTTCTTCTGGAGGCAGTGTCCAGACCCCAGAGGGAGGAGAAGCGGCTACGCCGTTTACTGAAGGTTCGCTGCACAGCCTGGTTTCGCTTCCTGATGCTGCCTTCAGTTCGGGCTGACACCTGTCAAAGTAGATGCAAGAATTGATATTTGAGAAATTGATATCAGAAATAACTCTCGACTCCTGTTCAGTGATCCACTACAAGAACAGAGACAAAAAGCTCTTGGCATTTTGGGTTAATTCGCACTCAAGTCCTGACTACTGAGCAGCTCAGACTCACTATGTTTCACCAGAGCATGAGTGAATACACCATGCATACTGTAAGCTGCGTCAGTGTGTTGTCTAATCACAGCTTGTGACACGCACAGCTAAAGCTAATAGATCAAGCCTTCCTAGTTAGGCTGTATGGAAGAGATTGTTTCAGCATAAAGAACGAAAGTAAAATATGAAATAAAGCAAAAGCTATAGATTACTAAATAGTATGTTATGTCTTTACATATATGCTTGTTTAAAAAAAAAAATTGTTTGGCTGTTTTTTTATGGTGAGAAACTATTTATCTAATGTGTAATATGGGAGACGAATAGATATCATGAGGTAGGGGAAATACGCAGAATTGTATGAAAGAAGAACAAGAGTTCCTTTCCCAGCTAAAGGAAGAGAGACTACAGGCTGTAAACCAAAACGAGATGGGGCAGAAAGTTAAGCCTGTTTGTGGGAAAGTGCCTCAGGGATAGATCCTCATTAACACAGTTTATATTGATCCACTAATCCCAAAAAATAGATTACAAAAAATACAGTAGCTGTGCGTGTTTATGTGTGTAGAAAGATATATTTTTGCATATGTCTTCCAATCAAGACGTTTTAGCAGAGCATGATGCCACTTGGAACATAATTTCATCATAAACGCTATCAGAATCATTTTTCAACATCTATGGAGTTCATGCACATGCCAGCTAAGCTTCTGGTGATGTATGACGCATCATGCAAGGCATGAGAATCTTAGTTTCTAGCTTGGCCTTCTTAGATATACTTCAAAGTATGCCACTTAACTCTGATGAAGTACAACAACAAAACAAGCATAAAAAGGATTGACCATTGTGAAGTTACCCCTGGAAATTTATTCTACTCTGTTGGTTCTAACAACATTAATTTTTATCTTTAGATAAAGTAATCTTTATCTGATCTTTATCTTGCGAGCACCAAACAGTGGTACAGCCAGGGGTAAGGGTTATCAGCCAGTCCGCCTCAATTCATACTCCCGTATCTCCAGATTGTCCCTTCCTCATTCCATCTTTGACACATATACCTTAAACATTTTGTATCTAGCTAGTGGGAAGTGAAAGAACCTAAAACATAAAACATCACTAACTCTTCCACACTGCATATGAACTTTTGAAAAACTCAACAACACATCAAGCCTGAATTGTTCGAATTGTACCAGAATTTCAAATATCTTTAGAGTATCTTGTTGTCACCTCATATCAATTTAACATTGTGGACTCTTTCAATTGTCCAAAGGACATACAATTAATTTCCTTTCCCTTTTGGTTTTACTGAAACTGGTGTAGCTCATCTCTTCTAAGATGGTGGTTCATTCTGGGAATTCTTGAAGCAGTTCAAATAGCAAACATAGCACAGAGGTAATGACCTGGATTGTGTCATAACTTAAAACTGTCAACAACCTGAGATGTTATTTCATTTTATCTTGATTTTTATTGGACAGGACAATTTTAAAAATTCCACAATGGGAGGGAACGGTTACTTTCAGGTTCTTAGGTTGTTTTGTATTTTTCATTATTTGTGGTCTGTGTTTGCCTTAGTTATTCTTTGTCTTGATCAGAGTGGCCTTGTTTCTGTTCTGCTTTAGTTCAGTCTGTCCTTATTTATTTTAGCTATATTATTTTTTATTTATTTGTCCTTGGTTTTTTTGTCTGGGTTAGATTTGATTTCCCAGTTCCCCTGTTTGTGTTTAATCCTTGTGCCATTTTTTCCTCTTCCCTCCTCAGCCTACCTTCTATTTTCTCCCCTCACATCTGCAACCTGTTAGTTAATCAGCCCATTTCAGTTCTCGTTCTTCCAATGTCCAAACATTTCTCCTGGTTCCTCTCATTATACTCTTCCATTCTTTGTGCTGCCTGGTCTCTGCCTGTTTCTGCTTTTACTTCCTGTGATCTCCATTCTTATAATAAGTTTTTGTTTATATTGTTTTTGTCATTGAATTATTCAACTTTCATGCTCCAAAATTGTGAGTCAAATAAACATCAACATCATTACATTTACATGGATTTGAAAAAATGTTTCCAAATAAAAATCTGAAAAGTAAATTTGTTTTCAACTTCCATTATGCTACATCCAGGGAAAACAACAGACAAGTGGATAAAGAAAAACTGTTCAGCTTTCGACAGAAGTAGAATATTTTAAATGCTAAAAAGAAAATAGACATTTCACATCTCAACAAATACAAACCCATTGCACACTTTTCAGATTGGTATTTGTATTAAAACTAAATACATTTTGTCTTCCATTACCAACTATGCACCAGTACCTGTTTGTCTTTCTCCAAGTTGTTGAGGGTTGACTGTTTGAAGCCTCAAACTAAATTCCTACTTAAACATGTAAGGACACGTGCAATATGTCCAAGAGCTCTAATTTGATCAAGGAAGAACATTTCCGAACAGTTAGGAGAGGAAAAACCTGGAAATTGTTTACCAGACATGAATATTATATATGTGAGTGTCTGTGATTGTGTGTATGATCATTTTTTGCCCTACCAGTGCATGGAAGGAAGACACAGAAAAGATGCCAAGGCGACCCATGGCCATTTTGGTGGGACGTGAAGCAAAACCCAGGAGGCGTTTGGGATTTGGAGGTTCACCGCCTTGTAGGCTAGCCAGGTAGCAGCGACAGCGGAAGAGATCTATGTGGAACCGCTCCAAGTTCTGCTCCCACAAAAAAATCTAACAAACAGAAAAATTGGAGTTTAAACAACTGAATGTGTCTGAGAAATGTAATTATGCATCATAAGCAAACCTCCCTATTATTATACTAATTTATTTCAAATTTGACCACTAACTAATTTTTAAAAAAAGCCTTGAAAAGCCTGAAGGCTTGCCAGTGGTTACATAGTCACTTGGTCATTGTGGGAGGGGAGTTATGTGGGAGTGCTGAAGCCCCTGCAGGGAGGTATTACTCACCAGCACAGCCCCACCAGTTGCCGACCTGCAGTGATATGTGCAGAGCATCACAGGGTGGGCCGTGGGAGGTGGAACATGAACACAAACACTAGCAGGGCTTCATTTGCATTAGTTTTTGCCATCATCTGTTTGTTTGGCTTGATATACAAACACTATCTACGATGCCTTTTAATTTTACAAAGATTCCCAACTATATAACTACTTTCATAAAACTGGATATAAAATGTCACCCTTGAAACAAATAAAGTCCAATTGACTGGTTAACTATTAACATTGCTTTATGGAGGATAGTCAAACACTTCCATTAAATAGAACCTTTTATTGTTTGTGTTTTATATCACAGATTAAAATAAGGTCCTTTAAAACATATGATATCCCAAGCATTCATGTAACATGTATGCAAAGTCAGTAGAACCGGGACGAGTTGTACCAGTTTTGCTGTATTGAGAGAGAGAAGGAGGAAATGCCTTTTCAAAAATAAGATAAGTCTTTGCATTCAGTTATAACGGAAATTTGATCTGCCAGATTTCCGTTATAGATTATCACAATTTTCTGTTCTGCACCTGCTCCAGTATGGTCTTCCTCTTCTTTGCATCAGTGACAGCGGAAAGCTGCATATCTCCCATCTTTTTCATTTTTCTCGTCCATGTCAATCTTCTGCTCCAGTTTGCGGATCTCAGTTCGGAGCAGCCTTACGGTGTCCTCCCTGTGGTGCTGTCGGGCAAGAGCTGTAGCACACGCAGAGTGAATCGCCGTGATCCAGTTCTCAAGTTCGGTTTGGCCTGATGTCTGTTAAGAAATGGTAGTAATAATTTGTTTATAGCTTAAAGGCCAGATGGCACAATTTAGAGCAAAAATAAAAAACCAATGATGGTAAAATAAAGAAATACAACAAAATCAAAGTTGGGTTTGCATTGTTTGTCCAAGTGATTAAATACTTTTAAAATTGCCTTTTCTGAAACAAAAGAGTCTTTTGAGAGACAAAAGTCAGAACTTTTTTTTCTAACTGTTTTTTTCTAACATGTGATCATTAGACAAATTATGTGCAGACTTATTTTCCTGTGCCACTTTGTTAAATCTTCAAGTCAATGTCTCCCAGTGTCACCAGATTTCACCATACATGGCCACAAAAATGCCCACTTTATGAGGCAAAACGTGAGCTGGAGAATTTTATAATGACCATTTACCTTCTCAGTGGCCTTTGAATTATCCAACTTGGGTAAAGTTAAGGCAAACATAACAAATTACTTTTCATTAACTTTTGAATTGACACTCAGCTCTTTTGTGCTTACATTTCATCTCAGCTTGTTGTTAAAAATATTATGTATAACCACATCTTCAACATTTTCACAAATAACTGATAGAATGTATTAAAGCACGAAACAGACAGCTATATGTATTAATGTTCAAGTTACAAAATTGGTTTAACAGACAACGTTATCAATTTAATCTAATCTCCATTTAAATAATCTTTCCCCAAATTGTCTCTATGAGGAAATTTCATGAATATAAATAGACACATTTCAATATTTGCGATAGTCACTGCTGTGGATCACTGTCACGCCGTGACAGTGTGGCCTTTAAACATGTCAGACATAAAACAAACACATGGACACAGGACTGTCATTTCTCCATACATAGCTAAAGGTCATGTATTTAAGTGTCAGACACACAGCCTTCACATCGCCAAAGGAAATCTAATATTTCATGGCTATCGGTTTGCGCTCCTTCTGGTTTTCAAATTTGTCGTGTTTTCTCTGGAGAATTATATTGGTAATCCCTTGGAAAGAAAAATGCCACTTGTTCCTTTTTAATGGATTTTCTCACCTGGAATAAAAATGCATCCCCCATTGAGTTGCTAAGGCAGAAGACATAGTCTTTCTTGGGATGTTCGGGTGCGGCCTGCACAATGCTGTTCTCCACCCACAAGGCATGTTTAGCAACATTGTTATGGTCAATTACCGAGCGACCATCTGATTCATAAAGGAAGAGGCTGCAGCCTTGAAGAACAAGAAAAAAAAGGAGGGAGAAAAGAAAAACATTGCGATAAGCCCACAAACAAACTTCATTTCTTTTTAACCAAAGTACTGTTTACGTATTGATATGAACTTTTAACCCAAGGTCAGGAAGATAAGCCACATTTGCTTATTTTAGAAAATTGATATAAACAGAGGACGCAGGCAAGAATGCAGCTGCAGATTCTGAATCTTATGAATTTTAAAAGGACCAGATTGGATTAGACACAGATCCTGCCGTAAAATTAAATTGTGATGAGGCTGAGCAGAGCTAATGCGCAACCACAGAGAGCTCTGTGAGTGAGAAAACAGTAAGGGTGACAAACAAGGGCATTGGCTGAGTCTAGTCTGATGTGATTATATTCTAACAGGAGAGAGAGTGTGGAAGATTAAATGCATCAGGGTCATGTTAAGATGCATTTTCAAGTCTGACGTTAGGGCTGCAGGGTTTTCTTCACATAACAATGTTTTTCACCATAAGCAGAATGAAACAAGGCTTTAAGAATCAGAACACATTTAAGTGAATGTTACAACCAAATAAACAGGCCCAGTGGGAATTTTTTAGAGCTGCTTTGGGATATGGTTAACTTCTTTAGCACTTGTGAGAACCCCAGAAAAGGTCTGAAAATAACTGATGATGCTCAAATAGGAGGCTTTAAGAAAATCAAACCACAACCCATTGATACTCTTCAAACAAAGTTTATGGTAAAGTAAAAAAAAGTCTAATGATATTGACATAGTGCTTATGCATAGTCACACTTTTATGTGAGATGATATGCAGTGCAATATGGTTAAGTTTTGTACTGTCCTGTGTAATAAATAGAATTGAGGTTGAAGTGGCGCATTGTGTGACATAATTTCTGATCAAATCATTCTTTTATTTTAACCAAAAAAGGCTATAACATTGTACCTTTTAGAGACACCCAGTACTGTTTCCACTTGCGCTTTGTTGCGAGTTCCACTTTCATGTTTTTCTTGTGAACCAGGAAGTTCTTCACAGCTAAAGCTCCAGCTTTCCTGACTGTGCCTTGTGCGCAGCCAGTCACTGTGTCAGATGGGTAGACACTGCTGAGAGTGCCGCTGCTCTGCTCATCACTTACAGCCGAATTGGCCTCCTCAGGGAAATCTCTGCCCTGATTCGTCTGATGAATGATTGAAAGACAAAGAAATTAGAAATAAAACAAGATTATTAAACAAAGGCATGTAAATACAAAGAAACACAACCAGCTAACCCAGACCTGACTTTCTAACTCCTTCCGGAAATTCTCATATACTCCTCCTCTGCATCCCTCAGCAGCTCTTCCTTCTCCTCCGCCTGCGCTGCTGCTCCCACTGTCACTCCCATTAAAGACGCTGCTCTCTGCAGCTGAGTAGAGAGAGAACGAGGCCGACATGGCTTTACACCGCCGGGAGATCAGCTCGCCGTCTGCGTCCGTCTCTGTGGCAACGCCATCAATGCCACTGTCGCCATATTCACTTCCATCTCCCATAGCACCTGAGATGTCCTGTCCAACAAAAACACAAGGCAAACCCAGTATTTATTTGCTTTTGAGTATTATGGAGTATGGAGTATGCATGGCCATTTGAACCATCCGAATACAAACCATTGAATAAAACTGCACTTTCAGTGACCTGAATAACTAATTTGATGGTGAATACATAATTCAAGTTTTCATAACTCAACCTGACAGCTGAAACCATGCATAAATGCTTAGATGTTACTTTTCTGTATATAAACAGTGCACACTGCAAGATACATGATTACATCACATCTTTGGAGGTTTTCAGTGCATAAAAATCCTGCATCAACGGTCACATTCCATAGATTTCATTTTTACATTACATCTGATTTTCACATTTAAAATGAGATTCTCATCTCACTACAGATAACCTGGAGTCTGTCTGTTTTTTTCCAATGTTTTGCTCTATTTATGTCCAACAACCCTCTGCCTTGTTAGACAATTTAAAACAACCACTTTAGTTTATGAAAATCAGCTGAACACATTGCATGGTTAACTATTTCAGTACTGCCCTCCTGACGGCTTATTTTAACATCAAAGGCACATATCATGACATCTCAAATTTTGATTTATTCAGCTTTTGACTTCAGCATTGCAAGATAGGAAAATTCTGTAAAAATGACTCAGTCAGCTGGTTATCTGTCAAATATATGTGCAAAAGCATTAGGATACTCCTCCAGAAACAACTAAATACACATGCAAAATGTTTACATAAAACAGCAGGAAATGTCTGGTTGTCTTCATAAAGAGGCATTAAACTCAATGTGGTCCTGACCCTCTGAACTTACTGAGAAACACTGATACACAAAGTCAATGGACTGAAAGAAAGACAAAAAAAAGGAAAGGAGACTTAGGAAACCGGATCAAACCTGAGTAGTATGTGCACGACGTCCCTGGAAGGCGGGGCAAGGTACGGAGGGGATCCCCAGCCCTGACAACCCTTCAGACAGACAGTGAGATCGCCGACAGGGGAGGGTGAATGCTCCATAGCTGCTGCCATCCTCTTCAGTTGGAGACATCAACCCATCCTCTGCTTCGGTGTCTCCTTTGCAGTTGGCTTCTCTGTGGTTTTTAATGTAACGATTCCTCTGGCCCTGGAGGCCTGGACTCTGCTGGCTGCACAGATGGTCCAGGGAAGAAGCTCTTTCAGAGGAGCCTATGAAATAAGCAGGTGTTTATTCCAGGTTTGTATACTACGTATGTGTGAGTGGACAAGATGAGATTTAAGGGCATTCAAATTTCTGGCAGCAGCAAAAATGTTCATACCTCTTCTACTTTATTCTTATATTTATGTATTCTAAAATAGCCAAAAATTTTGGCAAGGATATCTACTTCAGACCAATGCAAATTATTGCATCTTTTTGAAGTAGAAGGAAACGTATAAAAGTCTTTCTACCAAAGGCCCACAAAAAGCATTAAAGTCCAAGTCATGTTGAAAGTCAAGACATGTAAGTCTCATGTCAAGATATTTAAAGAGTTTTAATTTCTTAAAAGGAATTACGTCTTAAACAAGTCGTTTGATTACTGTTTCACCTTGTGTAAGAAAAGCTCTTGGCCTGTATGCACAGTTCTCCTGTCTGGTGTGTCCTTTGGCCTTCATAATGTGATTTATTTATTAATGTTTTTCATTAAACCTCCAAACATAGATGCATTTGGCTCAACTTTAACATACACAGATTAAGAACTACTTAATAATGAGACTTGGCAGTTGCACTGGGTTTTATTGAGGAGAAACATATTGAAAGAGTTACACCCAAACGCATGGCTCACTTGACAAAATTGTATTTTCTTATCTGAAAATTCTGTATAATTTTCTTTCCACATCATAATTAAACACTACTTTGTGTTAGGTTATCACATGAAGTCCAAAAAGCCACATAGAAGGTTGTTGCAATCACACAAAATGTGAAGAGTTCAGAGGGTGTGAGCTGTTTTGCAAGGTTCTGCACTTTCAGGGTTCAATCCTGTATTTGACTTCAGCATTGCAAGCTTATATCTTGTGAATCATGATTGTCGAAGTGTGTATGCGTGGGTGTGTTTGTGTGAATGCACAAAGCCATACATTATGCTGAACCATCTGACCACTTATGACCCCTTTAAACCTTCATCAGTTAAGTTAACAGCCACTGCCTGATGTCACGTTGGACTGCTTGAGCTCCTGCAGAGCTCTAGTTAAACTAACAAACCTGAGATTAACTGAACTGCTGCAAGTGATGGATAGCAATGGACCTTTAATCAGCACAGTGTCTCAAATCATTTTTCCCTCTCAGCCAGTGCCTACAATTTTCTCACCTCCTTCCCCTCTCATTGCCCGCATTCTGAAGTCAGTCAATCTCTTCTGCTTACATCTTTTAATAAATACTTTTATGATTAATTCTGATAAAATATATACATATCTAACAAAATATTACCTACAAATGAAAACATGGAGGTAAAAATTGAAAGCATAACATTTGGTGTTAGTGTACAAGGAAACAGGACTGGACAGTGACAGAATACATGCAAAAAACACTCTTTTAAATCCATGTTTTTTGTTTTTTTTGTTCTTACCTGCACTCCCTCTGAGACGTGTGAACTGCTCCTCCTCTTCCTCTCCTCCGTCGATTATGTCTTCTGTGCTGGTAAGATTTTCCTGGCTCAGGTCGGACAAAGAGAACTCCAGGCTATCTTCTCCACATGTCTGCTGACTTTGATCGCTTCTTTTTAAAAGTTCCTCCATCTCTGGGACCTTCAGTCATTCTTTGGAGGTATCTTTCTTCCCCAGGAACATCTCCTTCCCCCATAGAATCCTCTGCTCCATCCTGAGCAATAGTGTCTGCCTCTGAGTCTCAGGAGTTGGCGTGGCCAAGGGCTCGTCCTCATGTTGATAGGAGTCTGGCCTCATTGTCATTGAGATGCGTTGTGTCCAGTGGGGGTTGATGCCAAACTCTCCCAGCTCATCTGTGCCATTGAAAAGTTCCAGTCCACTCTCAGCTAAGGACTGTGGGATACTTGGTGTGCTGGAAGAGCGAGTGGAGGTCTCTGAGTTTCTGTACTCCTGTTTCACAATCGAAGAGACCCTTTGCCGGCGAGTTACTGACTTTTTGTTGGTGAGGCGGAGTGAGCGGGATGTTTGTTTACGAGAAAGGTGTACCGCTTCATTGCCGTACACACTGCTGTCTCCGTTCTGACTCTCCACGTTTCCCATGATTTAACTGGATAGAAAGGAGAAAACCACCATAAGACAAAGCCTTAACTCTCTTCTGATTAGCCTGAATAAAGCCTTGGAAAAAACCACATTTAAGTGCACCTCTTCCAGTTTTGTTTTGGAAACAGAGGTAGGAGCCAGCTCAGATCTTTTGACTAGATTGACCTGACTTGATTTGAGACTTGTGTCCATGAGGATACACACTGGAAAAACATTCTGAATGTATGTAATGATCTTAAATAGAGGCCTAACGTTTTAACCTCTGTTTTGTCCTCATGCTGCTTTACATCTGGAAGGCACTTATAGCAGTTTGATTGGTTGGAGACTCTAACAAGAGTCTCTCTGTAATAGATAATTGATACTCTTCGGTATATGATTCTCAGAATATGTAAGTTTTAAAAACATTGGTGGATGGCTACTTAAATGAAATAAAAGACTTGTTGGGTGATTACCTTTTCTATCTTTCAGTAAAACAGAAAAAATTATTTGAAATAGATTGGAACAACATGACAAATATTTCAGAATGCTGTTGTCAACAAGAAGCAAAATGATAAAATTTATGTTTTACATTCTGATTGCTACAGTAACTCCTTCCTCTTAGCCATCACTAGCATCAACAACTTTTTGAAGAAATGTATGAGTTCCTATTCTTTGGATTAGCAAAGTTTCTTGTATTCCACCTAAATTTTCAAATATTTGTGTGCACATGGCAAGCATTAAATGTCAGAAACCATGATATCAATCTAATCTTTAAACTAAACTTTTGTTTCTCATTCTCTGGATTCTCATAATAAAAATATTGTTTTTCTGCACAGGCTGACAACTTCGAATCAAGCCTTTCAGGCTGTGACAACAAAGCTGGTGTTGTCACAGCAGTTATTGCCATAACTGCATGAGTTTGATTCCCTGTATTATTTAAAAAACTATCACAGATTTATTATTTTAGTCTGATATTTGCTTGAAGTTTATACTGCCAGTAGCAATGTTTTTATATCAATTATCTCCTGGGTGTTTTTCTATTTTTTAAATCTCTTATTTTCTTTAAAGCTTCTGTTTATTTAACGTTTTAACTTCTGTGATTGTAATGGGTTTAAAATTGTAATTTTAAGCCCATAAATATTTTATTTGTGCCACTGTGATAATCTAAACTCCTTTACTGGGAAGAAAAGTCAAACATGAGATATACCTGTGCTTCCTCTATTTAACATTTTTTGCTTTAAACAAATCCATTGACATCACTACAGAACTAGTGTGCCAGATCCTTCTGATGTTCAAAAACTGAGAAAACAAAACTGAGGATAAGGCCTTTGGCAGGAAAAGGTGTTGATTTCTTTTTAATTTTAGAAACATAGTAATATATAGTATGTCAAGTACTTTCTCAATTTCTTGTAAAGAGTATTTATTACAAAACCATAATAGTTGTCCAATACGAAAAAGTCAAGAGTCTATGGTGACAAAAACAGCATTCAGCAAGGGCAAATTTCATGACCTGCTTAATAATTAACTTTAAACACTAAGAGCTGTTTCCGTGCTTTGCATACTTTAAACTGTCATTCAAACAAGATGGGAGATCAAGTACATAAAAAGATGAGCTGGAAATTCCCCTTCAGCTTTTAAGCCATATGTCATCAGATACTACCAGTCGATTTGGTTACTATGGCACGCACAGGAATATCCAACACTGACAGAAATCTAAAGAGAAGATGGAGAAACGTTAACCAAAAATGTGTTGCTTTCACATTTCTTGTGGCAAGAATTTATTTATACTGTTTTTGTATGAAAAATCTTGATTTTATTTTGTTTTAATTCATGAAATGAAAAAAAGTCTAACTTTAAAATTCAAATATTTTAAAAACAAGTGAACAAAGGAGGTTTTAGGGCATATTTTGTTGATTGTAGGAGAATCTTTGTGCTTCCATAGGCTTAAGGCTTATTGCTATTTTATGCTATTGAGGATCAAGTAGTTGCTGTATCAGCTGCTGTCAGATCAGTTTGTACTCTGTGAATCACACATTGTCAGACCACGCCTTTAGTCTCTTAGCTGTAGAGAGAGAGAGAGAGACTAAAATTTTAAACAATTTTTTTTTTTTTTTTTCTGTTTTTGAGCTGGAAAATCTTTTATGCAAGTTTCTTCATAAAAATGTGAAATCTATAGAAGCAACAAAAGATACTTGTATTCACCTGTGTTTCAGGAACCAGATCACCGTCTTCCCATTATACTGGGATTTGATCTTCCACCGACAACATTGTCTAAACAGGCTCAAATGCTGGAAACACTTTGCCCTAAAAGAACAAGAACAGATAGAGGCATTTCAGCTTCAGATAAAAGATGGTAAGCAAAAAGGACTTCCAAAACTACAGAATAAAGAATCTTCAAGAAACTCTCTTGTAAAAAAGTTGTTCAAAGCCGCCGTGTTTCATTTACACATCTAGAATCTCTTTGAAATCTACTCTCACACTCTTGCGACCCAAACCAAGCAGGCATGTACAGACATGAAACATTTTGGGAAAATACCCCTTTGTCTCCCAGCTGACAAAGAAATGTGTTCACCCATACACATTGAAGAATACTGATACTAGCCAAATCTACCTACTTTTAGACTGATCATTCTAAATAATATATGTTAGAGTGGACTTGTGGAAGTTTGAATCAAACTGAGAATATGTGGCTAGACTTCGAATTATTGTTCACACGCCAGTCAATACATGCACAAAACTGGTAGAGACATATCCTTAAAACACTTGCAATCAGGCTCTACAAAATGTTGACTCACTTTTCAGATGATTTTTTGGTCAAATTAAATTCAAAACCTATTAATTTATTTTCTTTCTACCTGACAATTAAATGAGTTTGTGTTGATCTCATGGAGTTTCAGGCAAACACATTGAGGTTGTAAGGTGACAAAATAGTGTACGATCAGCTTGCAAGGCCACTGCATGTGTATTTATCTGATTCAGCTTAACCACTGAAGCACATTCACCCGCCCTTGAGAAGTACTTATATAAGCTCAACTTCGACCCTGAGATTTCTGCTCCTCTTCCTCTCACTTTGCCCTTTGTTTCTCATCTCTCTTCTGTTTCATCTGCTCTGATGAAGTCAGCCCACATACTGTCCACCCACCCTCTGAAATACCGAATTAAATGATGATTTATGCAAAGACAGATTGTACTTAGTGGCTTAACAGCTAGAGCTGGTAGTACACCTTTGAACAAATAAAATTGTAGCAAGGGTGTATTTAAGTTTGAGAGCTAGTGATGGTGAAATAGTTTTTTTTATCATTGTTATCCATGTAGATAAATCTAGTTTTCAGTCCAGTAAAGGGAAGGCTGAAAAGAAAAAAACATACACAGGCCCAAGAAAGGCAAAATAAATCAAGTAGAGCCCCACTCAGGGGAAATCAAAGTGTTTTCTTTTCTCTGGCTATGTGCAAACTAAAATGTTTCGTCTTTCTGTTGCTCCTCTCCTTATGCCCCGAAGCAAGGTATGGGAAGTGGAGAGGGGGGGTGAGAAGGGTAGGTGAAACAAGGCTCTAGGCGAATCGCACTAGGGACAATGATGAGAGAGGGAGGAAATATTGGGATTCAGCACTGAAAATAGAATTTTATTATGGAGAGGTGAGAAGAGAAAGTGGTGCAAGACAACATGGAGAGATAACAGGAGAAAAACTGGGGGGTCCTATTGTTTTTTGTAGTTTAAGTGGATAAGTAGACATGTGCTGTCTGCCTATCCTCAGGCTTAATTGAAGGAGCCGAGACAAAAGGGGAAAGATAATTATTCGCTCTCTTTCTCTCAGCCTCTCGTTTCTCGCAGTATATTAACACATGGAGGGAGTGCATCAGCACAATAGCTTGCGCAACAGCAGCCACAGCATCATTATCATGCAGACGTGCTCACTTAGGGACGAGTATTCAAACTGACACATCGAGAGAAGACAAAGAAAAGTTAGAACACCTTTTAAAACACACAACTACATGTTTTGTTTCATTTTATAGTTTATATTTGACTTTTCCTTGCAGATTTTATCAGTAACCAAGTGTTAAAAAGGGACAGAATAATAAAGAAGAAGCAGAGCATCGCACAGAGCAGGCAGGAGGTGTCAGAAAGCACCGCTGTGCTGAAGCTGTCAGGCTCTTATTGCCACAACATGATGGTTTCATTAAAGAATCATCAACACCTATACGCTTTCACATCTATCACACACCTGAGCACAGACACCCAGGCAAGCAGACTGTTACACGTACGGCGATGCAAAGCAATGCAACATGCACGTACGCACCTGCACAATCCGGGGAGAAATCTGAGCAGGTTTCTCCACTTCACACACATACATTCACTCTTTGGAAAAATGCCAAAGCTTGTCAGAACAGTCACAGAGCAGGCACACCCAAAACTTCCCCCCGACAGTCTTTTCATCTCTCCACCTGTCTCTCCCCAGCCAGCACGCATGAGTGGGCCCCACTTGTGTTTGATGTGGGCTACATGGGTAATGAGTGGGCATGGGTTTTATCTGGGCGAACTGCATGGGACACATATGGTTAACTAAAATGAGACCCATATGGGCTGGCCCATATGGGCTAAATGCATGGGCCCTATTCAGCAACTAGGTGGGCTATCTGGGAATGGGATAGTACTGGGCAACACTATATGGGGCCCATGTGGTTTCAGTATCATGGGCCCAACATGGGAAGCCCATGTGGGCTGACCACATTGAACCCACATGACATCAGCATGGGCTGACCATATATGGGTTAGACCTGGGTGTGGATATGTGGGCCCCAGTCCTTTTTTAAGTGGGCTATCTGGGAATGGGATAGTACTGGGCAACAGTATGTGGGGCCCATGTGGTTCTAGTTTCATGGGCCCAACATGGGAAGCCCATGTGGGCTGACCACATTGAACCCACATGACATCAGCATGGGCTGACCATATATGGGTTAGACCTGGGTGTGGATATGTGGGCCCCAGTCCTTTTTTAAGTGGGCTATCTGGGAATGGGATAGTACTGGGCAACAGTATATGGGGCCCATGTGGTTTCAGTATCATGGGCCCAACATGGGAAGCCCATGTGGGCTGACCACATTGAACCCACATGACATCAGCATGGCTGACCATATGGGTTAGACCTGGGTGTGGATATGTAGGCCCCAGTCCTTTTTTAAGTGGGCTATCTGGGAATGGGATAGTACTGGGCAACAGTATGTGGGGCCCATGTGGTTCTAGTATCATGGGCCCAACATGGGAAGCCCATGTGGGCTGACCACATTGAACCCACATGACATCAGCATGGGCTGACCATATATGGGTTAGACCTGGGTGTGGATATGTGGGCCCCAGTCCTTTTTTAAGTGGGCTATCTGGGAATGGGATAGTACTGGGCAACAGTATGTGGGGCCCATGTGGTTCTAGTTTCATGGGCCCAACATGGGAAGCCATGTGGGCTGACCACATTGAACCCACATGACATCAGCATGGGCTGACCATATATGGGTTAGACCTGGGTGTGGATATGTAGGCCCCAGTCCTTTTTAAGTGGCTATCTGGGAATGGGATAGTACTGGGCAACAGTATGTGGGGCCCATGTGGTTTCAGTATCATGGGCCCAACATGGGAAGCCCATGTGGGCAGACCACATTGAACCCACATGACATCAGCATGGGCTGACCATATATGGGTTAGACCTGGGTGTGGATATGTAGGCCCCAGTCCTTTTTTAAGTGGGCTAACTGGGAATGGGATAGAACTGGGCAACAGTATGTGGGGCCCATGTGGTTTCAGTATCATGGGCCCAACATGGGAAGCCCATGTGGGCAGACCACATTGAACCCACATGACATCAGCATGGGCTGACCATATATGGGTTAGACCTGGGTGTGGATATGTAGGCCCCAGTCCTTTTTTAAGTGGGCTAACTGGGAATGGGATAGAACTGGGCAACAGTATATGGGGCCCATGTGGTTTCAGTATCATGGGCCCAACATGGGAAGCCCATGTGGGCAGACCACATTGAACCCACATGACATCAGCATGGGCTGACCATATATGGGTTAGACCTGGGTGTGGATATGTGGGCCCCAGTCCTTTTTTAAGTGGGCTATCTGGGAATGGGATAGTACTGGGCAACAGTATGTGGGGCCCATGTGGTTCTAGTATCATGGGCCCAACATGGGAAGCCCATGTGGGCTGACCACATTGAACCCAC